CCTTCCTTCCTTCCTTCCTTCCTTCCTTCCTTCCTTCCTTCCTTCTTCTCTTTCAATCAGGGACTCATAATTTTGTCCAGGCTGGAAATGCATTCACTGCCCCAGACCTATTGCTGACCGGCACAGAAACTTTGATATACTCTGTTTCTCACGTGGGCCAGTTTGCCTCTCCTTAGGCAGACTGATGTCCCCTGCTCCTTGGGGCTCAATATATTGGTGTCAGATTTAGTGCAGACATCTAATCGGCTTAGCCTACTGCAGATCAGAACTCCCAAGCTCAAGCTATCCACTAACCTCAGTCTCCTAGGTAGCAGGGATCATAGGTGTTTGCAAGCAAGCTCAGCAATTGATACATATTTCTTTAGTACCCACCTTGTGTAAGATACAGTGTTGTTATGCATCGAGGCAGCTAAATGGTGCAGTGTGGAAAGAATGCTAGACCTGGAGTCAGGAAGAGTTCAAATTCGGTCTTAGACACTCTGCCTGCCTCAGATTCCTCATCTGCAAAATGGGGGTAATAATAGCACCTCCCTCCCAGGTTATTATGAGGATAATATTTGCAAAGTGTTTTGCAGATCTTGAAATGCTATATAAATGCTAATGTTATTATTAAAATGCTCTAGGTAACATAAAAGTGACTAAACATTCAAATCCTGCCCTTGAATATGGGCAAATCATCTAACCTCGCCGTCTCTCAGACAACTCTTTTACAACTATCGATTATAGACAGATGGTGATCTGAGTCGGTAGAGGGAGTTTCCATACCAACAAAATCACATACCCTAGATGTATTGATGTGATATCTAATACTAATGGACATAGAATGGCAGATCTAGAAGGCCCTTAGAACAACAGAAATGGCAGAACTGGAAGGGCTATTAGGTCTTAAGCAAGAGAATTTTAGAGTTGGGATGTACTTTGGCAATCATCTAACACAGAAGTTATTAACATTAACCTTTTCTATGTCATGGACCCTTTTGGCAGTTTGGTGAAGCCAATGGGACCTTCTCAGAATAATGTTTTTAAATGTGTGAAAGACCACAAAGAAAACTAAAAGTTAGTGAAAATAAAGATTATTTTTTCCCATCCAAGTTTAAGGACCTCTCTCATTTAGATCAAGCCTAACCCTCTCGTTTTATAGATAGGGAAGCTGAGTCACAGAGTGGGTAAGTGATTTGTTCAGGGTCACGTAAATGCCTCAGTTGAGCTAGTTGAGGCTTGTACCCCTTTTTTGTTGACTCCAGATCCAGTGCTTTCCCCACAACATTGCATCACTTCCCCTGGTGCTCACCTTCTGTCAATCATCTGATAGCATTTCTTCAGCCAGCCAATCCCCGGCATCCTTCGTCGTGGGGTGGCGCCGTTCAGGTACACAATCATATAATCTTCAGCCACAAGGAGCTCCAAACTGCTAATGACATACCTGGAACCAAAGTCAGGAATCTGTGAGTATGGGGCCCCTGTTTTCTGTAACCAAATACCTGCCTCTGATGCTGGTTCAGCAGCGCCTCACTCTCACAGCCACTCTCCACTTGTGGCAGCCATTGGTGTCCAGTTCTGCTGATGGGGATGGCCACTTACCCTTTGCCTACCCTTGTTCTTCTTCTTCTTCTTCTTCTTTTTTTTAGGCAATTGGGGTGAAGTGACTTGCCCAGGGTCACACAGCTAGTGTCAAGTATTTGGTCTGAGGCTGGATTTGAACTTAGGTCCTCCTGACTTCAGGGCCGGTGCTCTATCCACTGCGCCACCTAGCTGCCCTACCCTTGTTCTTCTTGACGCTAACTCAGGATGCAACTAGCCATTTCCTCTCTTGTGCACACATGATGAGGGTAGGGGGGTCCATAGCATGCACCAATTTGTGTAAGTAGACACAGAGAGGCAGCATTTTGTGGTGGAAAGGGAGTTGAAGAAACATGAATTCTTGTCCTAGCTTTACTGGGAATTTGCCAAGCATTCTTTGGCAAATATTTTTGCCTTCTTAGCTTCAGTTTCCTCAACAGTGAGGGAAGGAATAAACATTTATATAGCACCTAATATGTTCCAGGCACTGTGATAAATGCTTTACAAATATTATCTCATTTGGTCTTCACAACAACCTTGTATGGTAGGTGCTGCTATTATCCCCACTTTTCCAACTGAGGAAACTGAGGCAAACAGAGGTTAAGTGACTTGCCCAGGGTCACACAGCTAGTAAGTGTCTGAGGCTGGATTTGAACTCAAGTCTTCCTATTTTGAGGCCCATCTCTCCATCCACTGTACCACCTAGCTGCCTTTCATCAGTGAAAATACAGGGGTCAGACTAGATGTTCCCAAGGTTCCTTCCAGCTCTAACATTCTAAGAGTACTATTCCCCTAGATATTGTCTCCACTTTGGCCAGCCATTTTTGCGACTAGAAGGACCTGTCATCCTGGGTAGTGCTCACTACTAAGGACAGACTGATATGAGTAAGGAACTATGTGCTGCTGGCATTTGGGATGATTTTGGTGGATGCTGGAGCTATAGCTATGCTTTGTGGTCAGGGATAGGCCTACACATTGGTCAAGTACACAGCTGAGTCTGGATCCTCAGGTAAAGGGCCACTTTGCCACTTTATTCTCACACATTGCTTTGGAAAGTAAGATTGAATTAAATGTAGCAAGCATCTATTAAATATCTACTATGTGCAAGGCCTTGGACTTGGTTCTAGGGATAAAGAGATAAAAAAGTATGCTGCTATTCCTGACCTCAGAGAGCTTAGTCTAATGGGGACGTGGGAAGGAATGTGACATGTATGCAAATAAGGTGGAATGTATGTAGATATACTAAGTGGTGCAGTGAATACAGTACAGGACTTGGAGTCAGGAAGGACTGAGTTCAAATCCTGTTTCAGGCTTTTTTTCTAGCGGTGTGACCCTGGGCAAGTCACTTAACACTATCTGCCTCAGTTTCCCCATCTGTAAAATGTGGGTAATAATAATACCTACCACATGGGGATGTTGTGAGGATTAAATGAATAAAAGTTTGTAAAGTGCTTTGCAAATCTTAAAGTGCATATAATTCCTAGCTATTACCATTACTATTATTATTGTCATTAGGCAAAAGAGAGTCAACTAAACACAATGAAGGATTTGAGGAGGAAGATATCCCTTTCACGTAGGGAGAGGTCAGGGAAAGCTCCGATCTAAGTTGGGCTTTGGGATAAGGGAGGGGGATTTCATCAGATGGAGGTTCTTAGAATTTATGAGAAATCCCCCAAACACATCTTGCTTTCCATTTCCTCCACGCCTTTGTTTACAAAGAGTTGGTCCTTTTCACCTCTAAAATTTGATGATTCTGTCATACCCATGTGGTCTTGGGGACATCACTTCTCATTTTTCACATCTTTAAAACAAAGGGCTTATACTAGATGACCTCTGGTCATCTTCCAGCTCTAAAGCTATGACTGTTTGAAAGTCAGAGGCCCGAGTATTCAAAATCCTTTACTGGTCCCCTCTTGTACACAGAAGAAAAAGTTCAGACTCCTTTGTTTGACATTCAAGGACCTTTACAATCTGGCACCATCCTGTCTTTCCAACGTTATCTCACATGACTTCTTTCCATATACTCTGACTCAGCCACCTGGACAACTCTCTGTTCCCTGAGCTCACCCTAAGCTTTCCTACCTTAGTGCCTTTTCTCATGCTGTTGTCATGTCTGCAATGCCCTCCTTTCCCTTCTTTGTCTGTTGACTTTCTAATCATCCTTTAAAGCCCAACTCAAGTAATCATGAGTCACGATTATGTAGCATTTTACATGTATACTTTCATTTGATCCTCTCAACAACTCTGTGACATAAGTCTTTTGTTATGCATTTTTATACCCATTTAACAGATGAGGAAATTCAAGCTCAGAGAGATTAATTTAGTTGCCCATGGTCACCCAGAAACATTGAATTCAGGTCCCACCTTGCTCCAAATTCAGCCCGCTTATTACCACATCAGGCTGCCTCCTTTACTTAAAATGCCACCTGCCAAAGAAGCCATCTGAGGGTTCCCCCTTAGATCCCTGAGAGCACTTTGGCATCTCTCTGTAACACGCTTATAATACTATAAAATGCAGCTATCTGTATTTGTCTTACTTCCCTAGGAGCACCATCCAAAGTTTGCATCTCCTTCTATACCCAGTGCAGTGTTCAGCATAAAAATCACCTCATTCCCAGGCAGTATCTGCACCCCCATGCCAGAAGGCTTCTGTGAGGCTGAAAGCCTCTTCTGACTGACCCAACTTACAAGAAGAGATTTTCCATTATGTAATGGTAATCTGGAGAGTTACTGTCTGGGAGATAGCAGGCTGCAAAGACGATGATAGCATTCAGACCTTCACCATAGTACCCTGGGAGAAAAACAGAAAGCACATTACAGACAACACTATAGACAGACTCAATGCCCTTTGTGGTCCTTCCAACTCTTTGATTTTTATTAGTGCATGAATTTGAAGCAAGCCAGTACTTCCCTGCCTTCTTTCCCAACCCCCCAACTTTCTCAAATGTTTCACGAGTCCTCTCCTTCCCTCTGGAGTCCCTAATATCCCCTCCATTACCAACATTTCAAAGGTCCATGAGTTGTGCTACTTAATGCTCCTCCATCCTAGAGCTGAAATGGACCCAAAGAAGCCTAGTTCTCTGCCTTCAGCTAGTGAAATAATTATTATTCCATTTTATTTTTATTATGGGCCTGATACACACAGTATCATTGTCATCCAAGGATCAGACTAAGTTCAGAGGGGCTGTAGGTCATGATATTTTTTGATACGGTGACTCATGACAACTGTCTACTGAGGCATAGGGTGAAATGAAATTTGTGTTGGTGGAGATAGTATCTGCATCCATGAAATCACAGAAATGTGAAGTATCATTTTTTTTTCTTTTTGGTAAGGTGCTTCTAATGTTTCAAAGTGCTTCACATAAAATACTGCAACCACATGATGAGGAGGAGAGCACTTCCCAACTTGTACATTAATTTTTCATAAATTAAACTGCAGTATGTTATCTGCCTTAATTCATTAGGATTAGAGGGAAGAGGGAAATTCAGAGAGAGAATGATTCTAAGGGATGGGGGCTGAGCCAAGATAATTGAACCAATAACTCTATTTAAGATTAAAATACGCATAGTCCCTTTGATATGAACTTGGGAAGTAGCATGAGGGTAGAGGAAAGTAGCTTTTGGCTACTGAAAGCCAAAGGCAAATTAGCCCCTCTCCTTTAAAAGGAATAGTTCAGGCTTTGAGTGTCCTCTAGTGTCCATAGGAGATAACACACTAGATGTTAATAGTTTTGTGCATTAAGCAGGTCAGAGAGAGAACAGCTCGAGCCGAGCACCACCTTGTGGCTGTCTTAGATGTTACACTCTAAATCATTTCAAATCTTTCTGCCCAATTGTATGTAATCTACGGATGTTTAAGCCAAAGTGTCACAGATGCAAATAAAGGAACTCAAAGGCTTCCTCAGCACTCACCTCCATGGGTCACCACCTTCATATAGGGTTTGATCATCTGGAGGTCAATTCGGTGCTCCTGCTCACCAATGATGACCGTTCTCCACAGGCGCCCGTTAGCAGCACCACCTTCTTCAGCTGCCCCATCCCCAAAGAGGTCTGCACTGTCACCAGGCATGTTCTTAGCAGTGGCCACAGGGGTGTCATCTGAAAGCAGGACATGAAAACTCATTATTTTTGTCTTCTCAGGTAGCAGAGGATGAAAGAGTTCTCATTTGTCCTCAAGTCCATTGGTTCAGTGGAAATCCATTCATTCAACAAATATATTTATCAAACTGTATGTATAGAGCACCGTTTGATGAATGGAAAGTTTGGATAATGTCTGTCCTCATAGAACTTGAAATTTATTGGGCGCCTCTTGTGTGCCTGGCACTGTAGAGATATAAAGATGACTCCTGCCCTGGAAGAACTTACCATCATTTGGGGAAGATAAGATAACAACAGCAACAATAGCTCCCATTTCTATAGTACTTTAAGTATTACAAAATGCATTTTCTGCAACAACCCTATGAGGTAACTAGGGCAGATTTTAAAATATCTCCAGATTTTCCAGAAGAAGGTAAGGGTTCTAGCAGTCAAGGGGTTAGCCCAAGATCACATAGTTATTCGATGGCAGAGCCGGGGCTCAAAGCCAGGACTTCTGACTCTGCCTACTAGGATCAGACTGGGTGAGCTGGGAAGAGTATTTGCTCTTCTGCCTTCCTTTTTCTTTGGGTAATGGTGCCAGAATCCTCCCCTCTCCTGTCCTCTTATGAGCCGTGGGAGCGCATGGGGAATTCCCAGCACAGATGATCGAATATGGGAAGCAAAGAAAGAGAAATGTTTCGAGAGATTAGAGCTGTCCAAAAGTGGAATGAGATCCTTTGAGAGAGTGGGTCCCCCTTCCTTGGAGGTCACCAAGTAGAGGCTGCCCAGTCTTTGGTTAGGTATGGTATGGTGGTGATTCCTTTCTTAATGGGTTGAACTAGGTAGCTATTGAAGTGCTTTCTAACACTCAAATTCTGTGACATTGTGACCCTCTGACCCCAAGACAAGTGCTCTTTTTACTGCACAGCCCTGTCGCTTTTATAAGACCAACGTAAATGTCACCTCTCCCAAGAAGTCTTCCCTGATCCGACCTTCTTTCTCTCTGCCTTCCTCCTCGGCACTGAAGGCCTTTTACCCCTTTGACCTATTACAGCGTTCCATTTGTGCTTCTCTGAGGCACTTATCATGTATTATTGCATTAGGGTATCTGTGTATGTTATGTTATTTATATGTTATAGTTAACCTGTGTTTTTCTTTTCCCTTTGATGTGTTGTAAGCTGCATGGGGGCAGGGACACTGTCTTTTCTAATTTTTCTACCTCTCCCAACACCCAGCACCCAGGGCTGTGGGTGGAGTAGCTACCTACTGAACTGAATGAGTTGAAAGAATTCTTTTTTCAGAGCTAAAACTATAGCCCTTCCCTGCCTCAACAGACAAGTCATGAGATTCTGTGATCAGAACACTGGTGGCCAGTCTTGGGTGATGAGCGTTTTCTGGGCCAATCACTTATTCTCTCTGAGCCTCGGGTTCCTTCTCCGTGAAATGGAGAGGGGCAATATGGTACGATAGGCAGGATGCTATCTTTGGAGTCAAGAGACCTAGGTTTTGAATTCTCACTCAGCTATTTAAAACTTGCCTCACTTGGGAGTCCCTGCCCCTCCCTGAGCCTCAGTTTCCTTTTCTGTAGAATGAGGAGGCTGGCCTGGATGGCCTCGGAGATAATCTCATGAGGGTATAGGACGAGATGGTCGGTAAAGTCTCTTGTAGCTCTAACTGTAGGATCCTTGGAGTTACCACCTCCTGGTCTTGTGAGGAAAGGTTTTGGACACTTTGATGCACTCTGGAAATAGCCTGTACTGCAGATGTTTCTCCAGACTCTTTCACCTTGACTCTGAATTATACAGCTTAGAACTCAATTGTGTGCTGCCTTGAGTTGTTCAAAGTTGTTGTGGGTGTTAAGGTCACCTTCCAAACTAGACTGTGATCTTGGTGTGGCCAAGGACAATGTCTCACATCATTTCTTTATCCCTGGCTGTATCTAGTGTAAGGCTAAGCATGTTCAATAAATGCTTGCTGGTTGTTTATTCCTTAGGCCAACCAAGGGTCTAGTGTAATCAGAGGTTAGTCATTTTCTTATGCATAAACTTAGCCATGTTGATTCTCTACTCAAAAACTTTCTGCGGCTCCCTACTACCTACCAGGCAAAATTCAAACTCCTCTGGTTGGCATTCAAGGCCTGTGAAGCCTCTCATATCCCCACCCTCTTACCTGGCGGTCTAACCAAACTAAAGGACCCTTGTTTGTCTCCTGAGACTCTACCAACTGTTCCTAAATAAATCTGGAAAGGAATTTAGAGATCATTTAGTTTAGCACCCTCATTTTACAGGTGAGAAAACTGAGGCCTAGAAAAGGGAAGGAACTTACCCAAAGTCACACAAGTACTAAGTTAGAATTTGAACCCAAGTCTTCTGACTCCAGGCAGCTATGTGGTGCAGTGGATAGAGTGCCAGGCCTGAAATAAGGAAGGCTCATCTTCCTGAGCTCAAATTTGGCCTCAGACAGTTACTAGCTGTGTGACCCTGGGCAAGTCACTTCCAAGTCTTCAGTTTCCTTATCTATAAAATGAACTGGAGAAGGAACCACTCCAGTATCTTAGCTAAGATGGGATCACAAACTTGCTCATGGCTGAAAAATAATAACAAGAAGTTCTGTCTCCAAATCCCATGCTCTTTCTATTTCATAATGCTGCCTCCCTATATCTGGGATGTTCTCCATCCTCCTTTTCACCTACCCATCATTAAAGTCCAACTCAGATACCATCTCCTCTAGGAAGCCTTCCCTGATTTCTTCTCCCCCACCCCCATCAGTAACTACCATTCTCCTCCAGACTTCACATAGCATTTTGTTCTGTGCCACTCTAATGCAAGTATAATGTAATGTTGTATATTATTCTTATCTGGGGCCTAAGTGACAAGAAGAGGGGAGGGACCAGGGCTTATCCAAACTTTATCTCCTCCAGCACTGAGCATTGGACTCTGTACGCCACAGGTACTTAATAAACGTTTGCCCAACAAATTCAAATGGAATGAAGGGATGAATGTGCTTTGTTTCTATTTAACCCTCCATGGGTGATCAGCTCTTTAGAACTGTCCTTAAGGTAGGTTTGTAAATAGCCACTTGTCAAAGGCTAATCTTAGCCTGACTACTGACTGCTTCAGACACTGAGGACTGGTATTTTTAGCTCCAAGGAGCCTGGGGGTTGGGGTATGGGGGTGGGGCAGGAGCTAAGTGGAGAAGGGGCTGGGAAATCTTTGTCTTTGGGACAGGGTAAAGAGCGACAGGTCATGAAAGAGGGGGAATTTGAGGATAGGCTGAGGCTGAATCCTACTTTTAAAACGGGCATTGTGGAAATCTCTGGGTCCTAGTCCTAATTCCGCCACTTACTAGCTTTGTGAACACGGTAATGACTCATTTAACCTCGGCTAAATGGGGATATAATTCTCCCTGCCTCATAAGGCAGTTGTAAGAAAGGGTTATAAAAAACAAACCCCGAGAAATGTAATTATTATAACAACTATTAAAATCATCAGATCTTGGTGAGCTGGTTATAGAGACAAAAAAGGTCAGAGCTAGGAGGGGCCTTGCTTAGAACATAGAACCTGATTGTTAGAGCCTTGAAAGGCGGAGTGATGTAGTGGGAAGAGTCCTAGATTTGGAGTCTGAAGACCTAGATTTGAATCCTGACTCTGCTACTTGCTAAATCTGAGCAAATCAGGAAGTTTTGGAGCCTCAGTTTTTTCAAATGTATAATGGGAGGGGCGGAGCAGGGACTAAATGGAGTGGACTAAATGATCTCTAAGGTCTCTTTTGCCAGAAAGGCCTATGAATGTAAAACATTGAGCCGAATAGGACCTTAGAAGTTGTCTGGTCCAATCCCTTAATTTTACATATGGGGAGACTGAGGTCCAGAAAAGTGAAACAATTTGTCTGTGGTCACATAGCTAACTTGTAGCAGAGCCCAAACTCAAACCCATGTTTCTTGAATCCATCGCACCATGCTATCTCTCAATATTTATTGAGTGCTTACCTGATGCTTCTGAAATTTCACATTTTTGTCTTAGTCTGGTCCAAGTTAGAGACCCAAGTAGAGATACTGCCAATGAGTCAATACTTGCACTAGCCATGGTATAGCGGAAGGAACATTGGAGATGAAGCCGGAAGACCTGAATCTACTATTTACTCCTAGTTCGAACTTGTTCAAATCCCTTCACTTCCTTGGGTCTCAGTTTCCTCATCTGTAAAATGGGGGCACTGGACTAGATGCGATTTAATGTTCCTCTCAGCTCTGAAATTCTATGTTCTAAGGTTTCTCTCAGCTCTGATAGGACGTTCTATACTCCAGGAGCGCTCTGTAATCTAACATTTAGTGTTCTGAGTCTCTTCCAGCTCAGGCATTTTGTGTTTCTGTGTTTCTTGCTAACAGAGGTGAGCTTCTGAAGTTGCTTTTAACACACATATGGAGAACTCGAGGGAGGCTCAAAATGGCACTCAGCCCCTGAAATAATATAATTCAGTGGGATGATCCACTAAAGAAATCTTTTTTTTTTTTTTAGGCAATTGGGGTTAAGTGACTTGCTCAGGGTCACATAGCTAGTAAGTGTCAAGTGAAGAAATCTTGAGAAAACAAAATAAGGATTGAGCCAGGTTCCAAGATGAGCTGGTTTTTTACAGTGCAGCCAGCAATAAGGAAATGAATTGCTCTTTTAAGTCTTCAACCAGAGGCCTGGTTTATGTCATTAGTAAAAAAGGACATTTATGTGGGATGGCACTTTAAGGTTTGCTAAGTACTTTATCCTCATGATCTCTTTTGAGTCTCACAAGAACATTAGGAGATGAGCATTAGAATTATTATTCCCATTATACAGCTGAGGGAACTGAGCTTTACACAGGTTGATTTTTCCACGGTCAAACAGCTACTATGCTACAGAAGCTCACATGAACTTAGATCTCTCCTAACTCTAGCACCAACGTTCTTGGAATTAAAACCAAAATAACACTTCCAGGGCACTGGCTAGGGCAAGACCATTACCTTCCCACTCTAGCTCGTTGCCGTTTCCTAGGAATTCCAGGGAATCTGTCTCATCTGGGGTTTCGATGTCATCCACGTTGATGTCCAGGTCATCGGGGGTGTCCAGGAAATCATCGGACAAGACAGAGCCTTCACTTTGGTCCAGTGAAATGTTGATTTCAGGAGCAACGAGTGTCTTTCGTTTACGATGAGCCCCGTTGAAGTTTAAAGTGTTCGGAGGAGCTGGAGGTAAATTTAAAAATTCAATAAACATTTATTAAGGCTTTATTATGTCTTTCAAGACATGTGTTTAGTGCTGAGAATTAAAAACTGGAAACAACACAGCCTGTTCTCATGAAGCTTACATTCTTCTGAGGGGGTAGATTTAGATGGGTGTGCAAATGACTGATAAAAGTTAGAAGAAGAAAAGAGAGTGCAAAGTACAAAGAGAGGCATGAGAAATTGGAGGAGACATCACTTTTTTTTTTGGTGAGGCAATTGGCATTAAGTGACTTGCCTTAGTCACACAGCTAGTGAGTGTTATTTGTTTGAGGCCAGATTTGAACTCAGGTCCTCCTGACTCCAGGGCCAGTGCTCTATCCACTGTGCCACTGAGGCACCCCAAAAGATCACTTCTAGCAAGGGGATTTGAGGGAGGTCCTGGGAGAAAGGTAACACCTTAGCTGGCCATTGAAATGGAAGGAAAGGTGTTTTACAAGTAGAGATGAGGCTCCATGTTGGGGAGGAGGACAACCTGCACAGATTCACAGAGCCCAGAAGGGAGGGGCAGGGCAACCACAGGGAAAAGTTAGTAGTAGTTTGATTAGAACATCACGTGTGTCTAATGAGCTATCAGTGAAGCTATGAATGAGTTCAACCATTTGGAAAAGCAATTTGGAATTATGAAAATGAAGGCACTAAAATGTGCATTACCTCTAACCTAGAGATTCCATGGCTAGGCCTATACCAGGGAGGTCTCTGATAAAAAAGAAAGGTTCCCTATATGCCAAAATATTTATAGCAGCACTTTTTGTGGTAGCAAAAAACTAGTAAGACGTCCACTGATTGGGGAATGGCTAAATGAATTGGGGTACGTCGTTGTGATGGAAGAAATGCTGTGAGAAAAGATTAATATAATGAATACAGACAGACGTGGAAAGAAAGTTGATGCAAAGTGAAGCGAGCAGAACCAAGAAAACAATATACATGCTGACTATCACAATGTAATGTAAAGAGAGAGAAGCACATCTACAAAAGCAATCTAAAGTGAATGCTTTGGCCAGACCCACAGCAGCCCAAGAAACAAAGAGAAATACAGAATGTCCCTTATCTGGTGAGGGCCTTTCTGCTTCTTCAATGACAACAGCTGAAAGGAGGGCAGAGGTGGTGACTCCCTATAGAGAGAGCGGTTATAGGAGGAAAAGGACGAGGGCCACGCAGGATGAGGGGGAGAGCCTGGGGTTTTGTATTCAATGAAATATTGAAGTATAGACAGTGAGAAACAGTGAGTGAATGGTTGGTCAGGGGATATTGTCACACCTGCATGCAAGGAGGGTTACCTTGTCAGTTGCGTGAAGGATGGACTAGAGGGGCGGGGCACACTGCAGGGAGGGGACTAGCTAGGAAACTATTGCTATGGTTTTGGGGAAAGGTGATGGGAGTCTGAACTGAAAACTCCCTAACAACTGATACTTACCACAATGCTTGGCACATAGTAAGTGATTAATAAATGCTTGTTGAATTGTAACAACTAGAACTCTCCCAAAATGGAATGGTCTGCCTTGGGAGGTAGAGGGCTCCCCATCTCCTGGAGGTCTTCAGACAAAGCCTGAATGACCACTTGTTGGGGGTAGTGTATGTTCTTTGTGATTGTGAGGGACAGAAGTGAGATGTAGAGGTAAAATGGACAGGATATAGGGACTGATGGATTATGGATCAGAAAGAGAGAGACAGAGAGACAGAGACAGAGAAAGAGGGAAGGAGAAAAAGAGTGAGTGAGTGAGAGAGAGAGAGAGAGAGAGAAGACAAGTTTCAATGAACAAGCTTTTATTAAGCACTTACTATATGTGCCAGGCACTGTGCTAAGCTTCCATGTTATGAAATGAGTTGCAAGTAAGGATTGTTTCCATCTTTGGAACTCTATCCCTAGCACCTAGCACAGTGTCTGGCACATAATAAACATTTAATAAATACTCATTGATTGATTGACAGGAAGGAGAGTGGAGAAATGAAGAAGTCGGGAGGATGGACAGGATTCGGGAGGTGGGGGAGAATATGATGGGTTCAATTTGGAACATGTAAGACATTCATATAAAACATGGATTAGAGAATCTCAGAATTGGAAGAAGCCTTAGATGCCATGACCCTGACTAAGAATCCCTGGCATGATATCCCCCCAGAGTGGTCATCTGGCTTTTGCTTGGAAGATCTCTAGAGAGAGCCCTCACTACTTCCCAAGGCAGCCCATTCCTCCTTTGGATAACTGTGCTGGGAAGTTTTTTATTATATCAAACCTCAATCTGCCCTTTGGTAATTCTCACCTATTGATCTTTGTTCAGTTGAACCAGTGTATTCCCTTTTCCACATGTTGGTTATTCAAATACTTAAAGTCAGTCATGATGCCTTTCAAGTCTTTTTTTCCCCCTAGTTAAATACCCCAAGTTTCTTCAGCTCATGTTCATATGTTCATATGATACTGGGGTCCTTCCCTGCCAGGTCACTCATATTTGAATTCACTCCAGCATAACGATGTCCTTCTTAAAATCTGGCTCCCGGTGCTGAACACAACACTCCAGAGGTGGTCATGGCTTCCATGCCCTTCTCCATGCAGTCTAAACTTGCATTAGCCTTTTTTGGCTGCCATATCACAGGGTTGGAGTGTACAAGGCTGGCTCTGTACTTAAGAAGTCCTGCCTCTGACACATACCGACTGAATGACCATGGGCAAGTCACGTAACCCTTCAGTGACTCAGGTAAATCCCTAAGACAATAAATTACAGAGAAGTTGCTGATATACATTAGTGGAAGGAGTTTCCATACTAGAAGTTCCCCATATAGATAAAATTATGGGTCCTGCAAACAAAAATGTCATAGCATTGACTCCTATTCACTTTCTAGTTTATCAAACCTTCTGATCTTTCTCAAACTACTGTGTAACCGTGCCTCTCCTCTCTTGTGCTGATAAAGTTGACTTTTTAAAAACCAAGTCTAAGACTTTACATTTATTCCTATTAAACATCTTTTTAAAAAGTTTTTACTGATGTATTTTGTTTTAAATTTACAAAATTACAATTACACCCCACTCCAAGAGAAAGCTATTGAAACAAAGTAAAACAATTAAGTAAAACTAACAATACAGAGATCTCGTCTGAAAGTGCGTGCAACGTTCCTCATCTGGAGCACATCTGACTTTCTATTTTTAATTTTTTTATGTGAACAGAAATCTATTTTCTTTCCCTTCCACCTCCCACTTCTTTAGGATAAAACAAATTCCTTATAAAAATATGCATAGTCAAGCAAATTAAAGTCCGTCACTGGATGTATACAAAAGTGCCTATCTCATTCTGTACCCTAAATCCATAACCTTTCTATAAGGGAAAGTGCATTTCATCCTCAGTCACCTGGAATCATGGCTGCTCATTGTATTGATTATAATTTTTACAGCTTTCAAAGTGGTTTGTCATTACAATGGTATTTTTAATTAACAGCTTGTTTTCCTGGCTCTGCTCACTTAACTCTGCATCAGGTCATAGAAGTCTTTCTGTGCTCTTTAGAAATCATCTATTTGAACATTTCTTCTATCACATTAATAAACAGCAACTTACTTAGCCCCTCTTCAATTGATAGGCATCCTTTTTCATTTTCAGTTTTTTGTACCCCAGAAAGAGCAGTTACGAATATTTTGGTAGATCTAGGAGCCTTTCCCTCTTTTTTGATTTTTTTTGGTTATAGGCTTGTCAGTAGTATAACTGGGCCAAAGTACATGTACCGGTTAGAAATTTTTGGGGGGGTATAAAATTTCATTAATTATTAAATTAACTAATTAATAATTAACCATTAAATTTTATGTTATTAGAGTCAGATGAACATACATTCAAGGCTGTCAGGATCTGTTTGTATCCCAAATCTGTCATCCAACATGTGAGCTATTCATTAATATTAGCCAATCCCTCTCTTCTCGAAGCCCCTGATTTTTTTTTTTAAACAAGTCATTCATCAAATTTACCACAAAATGTTGTCAATTCAAAGTTCAGCCCAGTTGTTATGTCTTATTGTTGCTAGGCCAAAGCTAGATGTCTTACCAGTTCTTTTCTTGTATGTGGCTGTTATATGTCAGGAAGTACTTTGGCCCATGCTGTATCTGAACCTGCGTAGTAGATTATGTTCAAACAGGCTCCTGCTGCACTTCACAAATACTTATGGAGCCACTTGACAAATGGGAAAGGGAACAAGATTCCTGGGTCATGCAGGTCCTTGGAGTTGATCGATGGCGGACACAAAGATAGAATTGGGATAGTACTTCAGTTCTGTGGTAGCAACTGCCAGGGATGCTGACTCTGAAATAATATAGTCCATCCACTGTATTAGCTTTTGTTCCCTCCTATCGTTGTGCCCTTAGGCACTTTAAGCATGATTGGCCAAGAGAATGTGAGGATGACCCCTGGAGGTTGGATGACTCTCCTTGCATCAGTTTTACAGGAAGATATGGACAAGAGCTCCATAGGATGAGCAGACGTGGATGGATTGCAATATGGAATGCCCACGTTAGTGACTGAATAAAAAACCATTTTTTAAGTGCTTACTAGATGCCAAGCCCTGTGCCAAGTGCTGGGGATACAAATAGAAAAAGCAAGATAGTCCCTGTTCTGAAGGAGCTCACACTCTAGTTGGAGGAGACAGCACATAAAAGAAAGTTCAGCTGCAGGGCATATGGAAAGACCCTGAAGGTGCCGTGGTGGTATAGACAGGAGGTCACAGATCTGTTACAGGATATTGGACAGAGTTCCTCAAGAAAATCCATGAGGCTAATGATCAGCACCTGTGGTTCAATAATTCTCTCAATGGTAGGACTGTTCTGTTAGGCATAGGGATAGCAGCTCTGTGAGGAGGATCACTTCCTGGGGTATAGTGGGAAGAGTACTGGTCCTGAGTCTGAGGACCTGGATTTGGATCCTACCTCTTATTCCACCCTCAGGAGGGGAAGGGACTTATGCAAGGTCATAGGGCAAGTTGGTGGCAGAGCCAGGACTCAGACCCAAGCGTCCTGACATTCAGTCTCCTAGGATTACAAATTGACCAAAATTCATTTCCATCATTGATAAAACTCATAAACCAATGTGCCTGGGCAAACCCAGATGGGCAAACTTGGGTAGATACTTACAGGATGTGTCTTCAATGGGGCTTCCAAGGTTGTCCATCCCTGTCTCTTCTGGGAGAGGTCTGTTGAACCAGTCCAGGAAGCGTCAATCATGGCCAACAGTCAAAGCAAAGGGCAGAGCCAGCAGGGTGGGTTGAACAAAGCAGGTTCAGAAAGGCGCATTCAGGGAAGGAAAGAAATAGCATTTTCTATCATCGGTCAGTGTTCAGTCAAAGTTCGTTCAGTTCGTAATTGGCTTGAAATGTCTTAGAAGTATAGACCACACAAGTTGGGAAGGATCTTCTAACTTTAGCTCATTAGCTGAGCCCTGCTGTTTCTAAAGAGTGAGCATCTCAGTGTCTGCAGGGCTATTAGGGAAGGTTCCGTCTCACCCATACCTAAGCAGGAATTGCCTCTACAACATCCCAAGTGCCACCCCCTTTATTTTAGACGCTTCTAGTCAGAGACAACTTGGTACCTCCTCTGGGAAGTTCTTCCTCTGACTGAGTGGAAGTCATCTTCCTTGTAACTTCACACAGGCTTTCAGCAATACCGGGAAACTTGGAGGGCAGCCAGTCTCTCTGAACAAAAATCCCCACTACAACGTCCCCAGAAAGTGGTCATTGAGTCTTTACTTGAATACCTCTAGTGACAGGAAACTCAGTAACTTTCCCATTCTAGTGTGGGATAGCTATGATTGTCAGGAAGTTCTTTCTAATGTTAATGCCAAATCAGCCTTCCTAATTTCTACCCCTTGCTCCTAGCTCTGTTCTCTTGGGCTGAGCAGAGAGCACTCTCCTCCCTCTTCCATGTAATGGCCTTCCAAATACTTGAATACAATTAACATGCTTCCCCAGATGGAAGAGGGAGTGTGTCTTCTCCCTCTTCCATATGTCTGTATCATGTAAACAAGTGTTTGTTTTCATTTCCTATCCCCCTGTTCTCTAATTGATTCTTGGGTGTGAATCTTACCTCTCCAGCTGGACCGTCACCTTCTCCAGGGCACGGACTCAGGGTCACCTGCTTATCTTGCATCCCCACTGACCCTAGCACAGGGTTGGTCATGAAGCTAGTTACTCAGAAAAGATTGCTGACAGACATCGTGGTATCATATTCCAGGGTTTTGAAGCTTTGTCCGAGCTCTTAAAAGTGCAAGGGGGAACGTCGCAGACAAGTCTAGCATTGATGGGGAAAGCTACAGGAAGAGTAGGTGCTAAAGAATCGGGCCACAAGGCACTCCTTAATTCCTTCGGTTGTGCTACAGTGGATAGAACACGGACTCTAGAGCGAGAGGAGCTGGGTTCAAAACTTACCTCAGGGTCACAGCACTTGTGGGAACCTGGGCAAGCTGTTTAACACCACCCCCTCCCCTCAGTTTCCTCGACTGTAAAATAAGGGAGTTGAATTTAGACGGTTCTTCAGGCCCCTTCTGGCTCTCGATTCATAATCCTCCTGGCAATCTTGTGAGGGAGGCAGGGGAAGAATTCTCACCCCCTTTTTATAGAAAAAGGCTCAGTTAAAAGGAAGTGTTTAGGAAGCATGATGCTACGTTCCCTCCTTGCCTCAGTTGGGAAGGGGAAATTGATGCCCAGAAGGATAAATGACTTGTCCCAGGCCGCCAAGCTCCAAATACATTTAAACAGAGGCTGTGCTACACAGTGCTATGTAGTGCAGTACGTACACAGGAAGAGATGTAGGTTTGCAAAGCATTCTCAACAACCCTACAAGGTAGGTTTTGTTATTGTTCCCATTTTACAGATGAGCAGACTGAGGCTGAGAGAGGTTAAAGGATGGGCCCAGGGTCACACACTCAGTATAGATCAGAGGGAGGTCTGGAAGCCAAGTCTTCCTGACCCCAGGCCCAGAACTCTGTCCATTGCACCACAGTACGTGGCCTTAGTTTGGAAGGTCTTGGCTCTGTGTGTGTGTGTGTGTGTGTGTGTGTGTGTGTGTGTGTGTGT